CCAGCGCCTCAATCACTGCCACCCACTGGCCCCATCTGTTTTTATTTATTTTTTTCTTTAATTGCCAGAGGATATGCACACTCACAGAGAGAGGAAGGGAGAAAACACCCCCATAGTAGGGCATGGGCACATACTACTTTCTCCTCCATTTCTCCATCCTATTGGGATTTGGGGCAAACACACATTCTCAATCTTTTTTTTTTTTCAAGTCACTGGGGCCAGGATTTGAACGGTGGTAGGCCGTATAGGACCTGGCTCCTTTAACCATTAGGTTCCAGGACAGCCCAACTAGCATCTTTATAAGAAAAGAAGACTAGGACACAGAGAACACAGACCAAGAGAGAATCATGGGATCACACAGTGAGGAGTAGCTATCAGCAAGCCAAGGAGAACAGTCTCAAAAAACCCAAACCTGTCTATGTTTTGATCTTGAACTTCTGGTCTCCTAAACTATGAAAAGTCAGTTTCTGCTGTTTAAACCAGCCTGAGTAGTATTTTGTTACAGCAGTCCTAGAAAAAAGATACAGAAACACTTTGATTTTTTAAACCTAAGGTCAAAACAGAGTAGTATTTTTTTTTTTTTTTTGGTAAAAAAAAAATATCACTTTCTTCAACAGCCATCAGGAACATTTCATGCTACTTTTATACAATGAATTTACATTATCCTAATAATGTTAGAATCCTACACTTGTTTCATCTTAAAGATAACTATGAGCAATTTTTTTTTTGAGAGGTTTTTGCTATAGGCCGCGTGCGCTCGCCAGACAGACAGAGAGAGACAGAGACAGAAAGCGAGAAATCATCCCCCAGGGGGGATGGCCATGCCGCAATCCCTTCTCCTCCATTCTCCTCTCGGATCTTGGCACGCACACGCGCCTGGCGTGAGTTTAAGCCACTGGGTCTGGGACTCAAACTGCGGTCGACTACATGGGAGTCCAGTGACATAGCCATTTCACTAACTGCTGGTCCTGAGCAATTTTTTTTTAAAAAAGAATGATTTTATTTAAATTTATTTAGTCCCTCATTTATTTATTTATTTTCATTTCACCAGAGAGTGACAGAGTGAGAGAGAGAGAGAGAGAGAGAGAGAGAGAGAGAGAGGGAGGGAGGGAGAGGGAGAGCGAGCGAAAGGGAGAAAACAAGCTGCCAGGTTTGGAACTCAAACCAAGGTCAGCCATGTGGGAGTCCAGTGCCCTTAACTACCATGCCACCTGTCGGCCCACCACAAGCAGTTTTCTAAGGTCTTGTATTTCAATTTCATAGACTTATGTTTAAAGGAACATCCAGAAATGTCCATTCCATTGTCTACAAGAAAACCCTAACCTTAAAAATATTCTAGACAGAGATGCATCCATGAGGCAAAGATAGCTGTTCACCAGCTCATACTCTCCCCTCCGTGCATAAAGTAGTCCTTGGGAACTCAAGACAGGGACTGTGTTTCCCAGTGCTCTCATTTCTAGGTACGTAGTTCTTGCTAATGTTAATTGGAAGCAGGGATACATGACATTTCTCAGACATTTTTTTAAAAAATTGTTATTGTTATTATTTTAACTTGCTATAGGGCACATGCACAAGAGAAAGAGAGAGAGAGAGAGAGAGAGAGAGAGAGAACGAACATGAGAAGTCAAGCTGCTAGGTCCAGGACTCAAACTGTAGTTGAACATATAGGAGTCCAGCACCTCAACCACCATACCACCTCAACCACCAGGCTACCTACCTGCTGGCCCCTCAGACATTGTTTATTTCTTAAAATTTTTTTATTTTCTAGACACTATAATTTTAAAAAGCTCCTCTTGAGAATGGAGGAGAAGGGACTGCAGGGGCCATCCCTCTGGGGAGTGATTTCTTGCTTTCTGTCTTTCTGTCTCTCTGGCGAGCACATGCTCCCTGTAGCAAAAATCTCTCAAACAAAACAAAACAACCTCTTCTTGCCACGATCAGCAGATGGCATAATGGTTATGTTGCTGGACTCCCACGTAGTTGACTCTGGTTCAGGTCCTAGACCCGGAGACTTAAAACTCATGCCAAGTGTGTGTGCATGTGTGCCCAAATTCCCAAGAGGAGAATGGAGGAGAAGGGATTGCAGTGTGGCCATTCCTCCTAGGGGGAGATTTCTTGCTTTCTTTCTGTCTCTCCTATGATAGCAAGTGCCCTATAACAAAAATTTCTCTTAAAAAAAAAAAAAAAAGCTCCTCTTGCCCCCATCTCTCCAAGTTCCTAGAAATCACTTTACACATAGTAGGAACACCCACTTGAACTGTTAGAGAGGTTTAAACAAAACAATACAAAACAAAACTGGGTGTAGTAGTACATGCCTGTAATCCAAGCAATTCAGGAGGCTGAGACAATAGGATTTTATAAGTTTGACGCCAGCCTGGGTAACACAGCAAGATCCTGTCTCAAGAAAAAAAAAAAAGATAAAGTATGCTTTCATTACGTTGAGTCACTCAAATTTTAATGTTTATTTGTTGCTGCATCAAGTACATATAATGATATAGTCTGAGTCATCAAGTCCTTAAGGTTAAAAGACAATAAACAGTCCTACTGGAACAAAGAAGCTGTCAAAATAAGAATAAAGTATGCTTTCTGGCCATTTCCACCACTCCTAATGTTGAAATGGTGTTTTTTTTTTTTTTTTTTTTTTCTCAAGTATCTTGTCTTTTTGCACTTATTTTTGTAACAAATTGTTGTGGGTTGAGTTTGATCTGCTCCCAAGATATTCTGAAGAACTAACCTCTGGTACCTATGAAGGTGCCCTTATATGGAAACAGGGTCTTTGCAGATGTAGTTAGGTCACACTGAGGTCATAATACATTAGGGAGGCTCCTAGTACTGGTGTCCTTAAATAAAGAGGAAAATTTGAACAGACATAAGAAAATAAAAAAAAAAAAAACAGGTAGAAATGGAGGTAGAGATTAAAGTGATGCTTCTCTAAGGGTTGCCAAGGATTAGTGGCAACCACCAGAAGCTGAGACCTCCCCCTCCCCCCCAGGGAACCAACTCTGCTGTCAACTTGGTTTCTGACTTCAGGTCTTCAGAACTGTGAGAAAGTAGATTTCTGTTTTCTTAAGGCACCCTGTTTGTAGTTTTTTGTCATGGCAGCTCAGGAAACACACAGATTTCAATATATTCTAGAACAGATATATTCCGAAATATAGTTTTCAATAAGAGATAAAGAGATGGCTTATTGTAGAATTCCTTCTTTGTTCTCCAGATAAACCCTGAAGTCACAGGTCTTAATGAATGTTTTTTTAATTAATTTTTTTTTTTAGAGGTTTTTGCTATAGGGTGTGTGTGCTTGCCAGAAAGACACAGAGAGACAGAAAGACAGAAAGTAAGAAATCACGCCCAGGGGGTATGGCCATGCTGCAATCCCTTCTTCTCCATTCTCCTCTCCAGATCTTGGGCACGCACACACACGTGCCCAGTGTGAGTTTAAGCCACTGGGTCTGGGACTCGAACTGTGGTCGACTACATGGGAGTCCAGCAAGTCCAGTGACATAGCCATTACGTCAAGTACTGGTCTTTTTTCTTTAAAGAGATTTTTTTTTTTTGCTATACGGCATGTGTGCTTGCTGGAGAGACAGAAAGAAAGTGAGAAAGCACACACCAGAGGGGATGGCCACACTACAATCCCTTCTCCCCCGTTTTCTTCTCAGGATTTTTGGGCATGCATGCACACATGCCTGGCATGAGTTTTAAGCCGCCAGGTCCAAGACCTGAATTGCAATCACCTATGCAGGTGTCCACCAACATAACCACCACAGCATATGCTGGTCTCTAGTCAACTCTTAAGGTACAATTTCAACAAAATCTGGCTTCACATTCTCCTTTCCTAAGAGGTCAGCAGACTGCATAGCAGTTACCTCCAGTTATGTTGCTGGCCTCCCACATGACTGCATTTGATTCAAGACCTGGACCTAGTGGCTTAAAACTCACACTGGGCATGTGTGCGTGCGAACCCAAAGTCCCAGAGGGTAATGGGGGAAGGAATTATGTGATCATCCACCCTGGGGAGGTGATTTTTCACTTTTGCCCTGTGTCTCTTGGGAGCCCAAGAGCCCTATAGCAAACATGTCCTTTGGCAAAATTCTATATGAAAAAAAAGATTGGTCTCAGGCCTGCAGGATGTGGGGAGGTTAAGGAAGGAGGCTGGATCCCACACGGTCATTGTGCAGCTCAAGTTCTGACCCCTGGTTTAAATAATGCCAGGTGTGTGAGGGAAAGCGCCCAAAATCCCAAGAGGAGAATGGAAGATGAGGGATTCCAGTATGGTTATACCCTCTGGGGTGTTTTCAAACTCTCTCTGGTGAACACCCGAAACCTATAGCAAACTAAAAAAAGATTGGTCTGGTAAATCTGGACTTTGTTTTCATGAAGGAGAGGCTCTAGCCATATATTAATTTTGTCTTATTAAAAGCGACTCTGAAATTTAAGCTTCTCTCCCAAGCAGAGTGCACAGTGATGGGAGTCGACACTATTTCGGGAACATGAACGGCTGATGTTGATACTTAATGTGAGTAGCTTCAGCCATTGCTACCAACATTTCTCTCATCCTAAAATAAGCTCCAGTTGAGACTAAGGGATCAAGTAAAAATCTTCACCCGCCCTTACATTCGTATTTGTGCTTCTTAGGCTACTTAAAATTTTGCTTACTAAAATGCAGAATAAAATAACACAAAGACTTGAACCCATGAGTGGAAAGATAACCAGATCACAAAGCGACGATTATCTTTTTCATTGAAAGGTCCACATGCCGTAGAAACGTCGCTAAGAACACGCTGACACCTTGGGTTAGTCTGTGAGCTCCCACTTCCCGAACGTACTCGGCTTCCCCTTCCGCAGAGCAAAGCTGCACACTGCGCAGGCGCCCAGATCACGGTGCCCAGGGAGGATTCCTGCGCACGCGCGAGGGTCGGGAAGTGGGCGCCCTCGCGCGCGTGCTCCGCGCCTCACTTCCGGCTGGCCCCTCCCCCTCCCTGCGTAGCCACCTCCTCCTCTCTCTTCTCCTCCCTATCCTCTCCCGCAACTCTCCCCGCCCCTCCGCTCTCCGCCCTGCTCGCCTCCTGTCCTTCCCCTCCCGCTCCATCCGGGTCGCTCACGGCTGTCTCTGGACTGGACAGCAGTGGCGGCTGCTTTTCTCTGAGGAGCCTGGTAAAGTTTCACAGGGGCCAGGGAGGGGAGCAGCGGAGCAGCGTTACCAACGCCGGAGGAGCCGCCCCCCGCCACTGGCTGGAGGAAGAAGGTCCCACGAGCTGAAGATCTGTCTCAGCAAACGTGCTGCCTTGCTGTCTGGACGCGGCTGCCCGGTCGCCTTGGGCTGCCCCTTTTCTGGGGGGCCGGGTGAATCGTTGCCCGGGTGAGTTCGGGGGCGTGTGACGGCGTTAGGGAAGGGGCAGGCCGGCGGGGCGGATACAGGCCGGCCTGCGCAGGGCGCTTCCTCGGCGCTTCCTGGGGTGAGGGGCGGGGGGCGAGGACAGGGTCAGAGCTCCCTGACCCGGAGGCTGGAATGTCACACTTCCCTGGGGAAGGGCCTCCCTCGGGCTGAAGCCGCGGGGTGCCAAGCCTGCTCCGCCGACCTCGGGGGCTTCTGCGAGCGAGCGAGCGGGCGGCAGCCGTAGTTGGCTGGTCGGCCCGCGAGGTTGGGTGTGTGCACACGGCTTCTCCTCGCTGGTCTCCGTGAGCTTATCTGCGTGCATGTTCGCGGGAAGATGGGAGGACTAAGCGGCTTTCCATTCCCCTACCTGTTGCTGGCGAGAGGACGTAGCTCTTCTGACTTTTAGAGAAAAGGGTGATTGGTTAAACCTCGCGCGCAGAAACGAGGGAGGTATTTTCCTGTCCTCCCCTTGGAGGAAAAATATGCAAAGACAATGCAGAACTCTCGGGAACTCTTCGAGTTCTGACGCCCCGAAAGAATGAAATAAAACTGTTAATGGATGGGTCTTGGAATGGGACACGGTCGGCACTTGCTAGCCGGAATGTAGGAAATTGGGTTTTGAAACTTGGTCGGTTCTGCGTTAAAAATATGGGTGACTACGACAGGAATAAAGCTGACTTCCTGTAATGGTGTTATTTAGTAACGTGATCTGTTAAAAAATCTATGTAGGTTCAGATGAAGTGGACTCTTTGATTGATAGTGTCTTTACAAACGAAGAAATATTCAATGTACTGGAAAGTTCTACGGATTTCGCCACCAGACTGTTAGTGTCCCAGCCCCCATTTCTATTCTTGAAAAATCAGCAGTATTGAGTTATTAGTAATTTTATAACTACTTCAAGTAATTGTCTCAGAGGTAGAGATACACAGATTGCCCAGAGGAAGTATTTTAGTTATAGTTGCCATTTGTAATAGTAAATGTTGAATTTGGGGGAGGATCTTGATGTTTAAACTGAATATTTTTTTTCTGTATTATGCACATAGTTTGAAAATTAAATTCGTTGTGAGATTCGAGTCTTGGTGTTTCAGTTTGTAAAATACGATCTTTGAAAAGGCAGTTTGCAGATTATGACATGATAAGAGACTCTCTTTGAAAAGGCAGTTTGCAGATTATGACATAAAAGACTTTAATCTCTTTGGCCTAATAGTGTAAATAATAGCAAGAATCATTTAAGTTGTGGACATTTAAAATATTTTTCATTATTGGTTTCATTTCTACTACAGATAAGAACTTCAGTTTTCCTTTGATGTGGAAGTAAGTATTAAACTTTTAATTAATACTTTAAGGGAGGTTTTATGCTTCTCCAGTTAGCTAAACTTTTCACTGGGTATACTTGATATTTTGGGGCAGTAAGAAGATGTCATTTCTTGCTCCCACTGAAGTGACTTAAAGCAAAAAAAAAAAAAAACAAAAAAACTCAAAATAATAAAACTGATACATTTCATGAAAGTATCTATTTTCATTAGTCTATCAAGAGATAACGAGGTCAACACAGAAATTAGTGTAATTAGTTAAGTTTTGCAAAAAAATATAGTGATGTATTCTCTCTCAACATTTCTATATAATGCATTTTAAAAATACAGCTGATAAATTTTTGAAAGTGTGATACTTATGTCCCTCATTCATAAGATATATTTTCTGTTTCTATATTAGTGATTATCATAGTCTAGCACTTGGAAGAGCTGATATATATCATTGTTTTCTTTGAGGTCATATTAACTTTTTTTCTATCTCCTCAGACTTAGGATACCTCCAGCTTTCCAGTGTCTCAGAAGGGAGTTTTTTTATTGAAACTGGAAGACCAAACTAATCACAAGCATGTTATGTTGGGGAAATGCATCCTTTGGACAGCTAGGTTTGGGTGGAATTGATGAAGAAATTGTACTAGAGCCCAGAAAAAGTGACTTTTTTATAAATAAAAAGGTCCGAGATGTAGGATGTGGACTCAGACATACTGTATTTGTTCTGGATGATGGAACAGTATACACATGTGGATGTAATGATCTAGGACAGCTAGGTCATGAAAAATCCAGAAAAAAACCAGGTAAGTTGAAAATTTTTTAAAATTTTGTTTCTATTTTGTTGAGATTAAAGTGTCACAATTTCTGTAGTTCTAATTCTGTATTTTTAAAATCAGGCATTTTAAGAGCAAAACATAGTTAAATATATCCTTTCTACTTTGCATGTGTTTAAGTGTGTTGTGTTGTGTTTTTTTTTAACTTACTTTATAAACCCTTATTGTATGGCAGTGTGTGAAGTATTAGAGAAAACCCGTCTGCAGTGTATAGATCTTCTTTAGTATAAAGTATAAAAGTGTAGAGTATGTAATATACAGATCCTCTCTACTAAGTACTGTTTAGCCACCTTGGACAGATTTAAATGTATAATTTACTCTCATTTTCCATACATCAGCACGAAAAAACTAAGACAAAAGCTTATTCTTCTCACTTGACTAAAATACATCTTCATTCTTATGTTCATTCCCCTATGGTAGTATTTTAAATGTAAAATTTTATTTTGACTAGTTGGAAGTATCTTTTATTCTCTGTATTTCCTACTTTCAAATAGCAGTGCTTGCTATTAAAAGTTTTGTGGGGGCCAGCAGGTGGTGTGGTGGTTAAGGCGCTAGATTTTCACATGCTGACTGGGTTCAAGTCCTGGACTGGGTGGCTTGACAATCATAACAAATAAATAAAAAATATTTTTTAAAAAGAATTAAAAAAAATGGTTTGTGAATGAGGCATCCTGATTTTACGGCACCCTACAGGCAAAATTTAAAGTATTTGAAGGATAGTGAGGATTTTGAGGAATTTGGTTGTATTTTGTTGACGTTCCATTTTCCATATGTTGGTTTCTTTTTTTTTCTTTTTTTGGAGAGGTTTTAGCTATAGGGTGCATGTGCTCGCCAGACAGAGACAGACAGACTGAAAGCGAGAGATCATCCCCCCAGGGGGATGGCCACGTGGCAATCCCGTCTTCTTTGTTAACCTCTTGGGATTTTGGGCACGCATGCACACGTGCCAGGCCACCAGATCTGGGACCCGAAGCGTGGTCGACTACGTGGGAGTTCAGCGACATAGCCATTACACTAACTGCTGGTCCCCATATGTTATATTTTAAGATAAAATATTTTATCTAGGAATATCATTGTTATATGAGTTTTGCTTTCATCTATGTTAACTAAAAGTTAATATCTTAAGGGGTGATAATGAGACTGCAGCTGTATTGAGTTATAGTTTATTATAACTTTAATAGTAGTACTTAAGTATTTTCTATCACAGTTTTTCTTTATTCATTATTTAAGTGGTTTTCTATTGTTAGTCTACCTTTGAGTGATTAAGTAGATACAAAATATTCAGACATTAAGAGGTGTTTCATCTTTCATATCATCTCACCACCTTGCCAAACTTTTCTAACTTGCAAATACTGGAATTTAGTTTTATTGTATGCATTGTAGTGATACTTGATGTAGTGGGTTTAATTATTGCAGAACTCAAGGGAATGGTAGCTTTCTTGTACTCTACTTCTTTAAAGAGTATTTCACAACTGTTACCAGGTTTTCATAACCTCAGGCATTGAAGTGGTCATGTTGGTAGGGATGAATGGTGATTTACTGATTGTTATCTCTGCTTTGAGGCAGATGGTTGGACCCTTTACCTTTTCTGCTTAGCTTGCAGTGCTGCCTCATGCTGAGATTTTCATGGTATTGGAGCTGCTTCTGTTCTTTGTACTTAACATACCACATAGAAATAAATGAACATTTCTCTGTATTGCTTTAATAATTTTTGAAAGGCTGTAGAACAAGTAAAAAGTACAAAACAAGCACATAGAAATTGCCAGTATAGTTACTGAAATTGACTAAGGTTTAAAATGTGAAATGTTACTAAACATTTCTGTTTCTAGGACAAGGGTGGACATTGCACTAATAATATATTAGTGATTATAATGTCTGGAATAGCCTCTGACTCTACAGATGAGATGCTGAGCTAGCCAGAAGAGGGTTCTTTGTGGTCATATTGACATTGTAATGATTGCATTGTGACATCTTTATTATCCTAGTGATTGATCCTGGAAACATTGTTTAGTAATATGAAGTTGGGTGGATGGGTCTCCATCATTAACCATACCTTTTTAGGATTGCCTCATTATTTTCCAGAATATATCATAGTCTGGAATAGAAACGTAAAATGCATGAACTTTATCTTTGAGAAACTCAGAATCTGGGTTTTTGGAGTTAAGGTATGCCTAAGTGAAATAACTGGAAAGAATTAAAATTTGACACTATGTGTCCTACCTTGAGCCTAGGAAATTTAAATGATGGGAAATGTCATTGTGGGATAGAATTAAAGATTTTTTTTTTTTTTTAGAAAATGGTGGCTTAAATAGAATTCTATCAGTGATCACATAAATAGCCAGAAAATAAATCTGGACTTGGAATTGCTTGTTTTATTTTATTTTTTTTAAGAATTACTTAACTTTTTAATGTTATTTTAATTTGACTAGAGCGGGACAGAGAGAGAGAGAAGAGAAAGGGGAAGTGAGAAAGAAAGCTGCCAGATTTGGGACTTGAACTGCATTCAGCCAATGTGGGAGTCCATCGCCCTTAACCACTATGCCACCTGCTGGCCCCAGAATTGTTTAATTTTACAGAAAAGGATTCCAATTCTGAGAAAAGATTTTTATTATTATAAGTCCTGGTTCAGTGATCTATGATAAACTCAGATTAAAGAGGTAGGAAAAGAAGCTCAAGGGAAGGTAGTTACTTTGATGGTGATTTCATTTTTTAACTAACCTTGGTTTTGATTTAAGATGCTTGGGTGCTAAATATTTTTAACTAAAATTATTCCTATGTGAAATAATTTCTTAATGATTTAAATGTGTCCCTTTCCCAACCCCTTTTTACATTTGGTAGTTTGAGGACTAGGTTAAAAGATAAAGAGTAGTTAGAATTTATTTATTGGTTTTAAAGTCTTTTGGTAATTGAGTGAGTCTGGTTTAGTTCTAGAACCATGTAGTAAACATAGTTCACTTTATCAGATTTTAAACTTGTGTCAGGAAGAAGGCAGGCAGAAAGGAGGGAGCTACATGTTATTTTTTAAATAATGACCCTTTTTTTTTTTAAAGAATTATTTTATTTAACTTTATTATTATTATCATTATTATTTTCCAGTTTGATCAGAGAGACACACAGAGAGAGAGGAAGTGAGAAAGCAAGCCACCAGGTCTGAGACTTGAACCATGGTCGGCCATGTGGGAATCTAGCGCCTTTAACCACCATGCCACTTGCCAGCCCCAAATAACGACTTTTAAATCCTAACACATACTCTGTAATAAGGAATGAAAGAGAAAGAAATAGCTTCATTAAGGTTTTGTTTTGTTTTAGAAGGTTTTTTGTCTTAGGGCATGTGTGCTCACCAGAGAGAGACAGACAAACACAGTGAGAGGGAAAGTGAGAAATCACCCCCCAGGAGGGACCACCATGTTGCAGTCCTCTCAATCTCTTCTCGCTCTCTTCCCTGAATCTTGGGCATGCACGCACATGTACCTGGCATGATTTTCAAGTCACTGGTCTGGAACTTGAACTGCTTCCACCTTGTGGGAGTCCATCTATGTAACCACTACGCCACCTGCTGGTCCCAAGGAGGTTATTCTTTGTTTGTTTTTTT